GCCTTGCAAAGCCCAGGTGTTACATGTGGGCATCTAACATTGCAGAACAAGGTAAGGAGGCAAAGCCCTGAGAGACAAGGAGGCTGTGGGAACAGTACATGGCAGAGTGACAAGTCATGGTGGGGGCTACTTATATGAAAATGATTGAATAAATCTATTGAGGAGAGAGGAAGTTAAAAACATACAGAGACTTGCACCTCAAGGTTTTTTCACCCGATTGCCTGGGCCATGGGACAGCCAGGGACTGAAGGCAGTGTTGCTGGAAAGAGGTGGGCAGCTCTGGGGCATCCCAAGTTCTCATGTTCCACAACTCTCTAGTGCCTCCCTCTCCTGCAGCTGCCCCATCACTCTCTGCCCAGGTCTGATGCTCTCATTGCCTTGCCTGAACACCCTCTTTGTCACCCTCAGCATCCTGCTAGGGAGACTCCATGCCTGCTACAGCTGGTGTGCAGCCATGTGTGCTCGCGGGCCATCAGGTACACGGGCTGGCCACCTGTTTCCTGCCATGTGGACGACGGAATGGATGGAAACACGCTCCCCTTTTTCTAGGAATGCTAAGATCTCTTTCAGTTAGCCACCAACACTGGAAGGACTTAAATACCTTTGTAATCTCTGTCTTCATCAGATGTGGTTTATAATCAGTTGATGGGGCTCAAACAGTTACCGAGAGAGTAGAGAAGTGCTCTGACAGCTGCTTCAGGAAACCTAGCTAAAGACCTAACAGTAGCTTTAAACTTTGGAGCTGGTGCCTGCCCCTGTCTAGCCTAGGAAGGCATCTCTGCCCTGTTCAGCTCAGCCTTGCTCAGCCAGGAGTTACCTTCATCTCAGGCACCGTCTCCAGGCAGTGGCATCATACAACAGTCTGCGGTGGAGGCGCTGGACCTCCTGTTCTCCTTCTGGGCTCTGTGCAGGTGCCCTCCTGCAGCACAGGGGGGCGTGGGCCGCGGGCCGCGCCGCTCCCCTCTCCTTGCGGCTCCCACATCTGCAAGTGCTCTGTGGGGCTGCGTTGGGAGCCCTGCTCTCAAGCTGAGTGGAAGGGGGAGAGCGGCTCCCAGCCCCGCTCTCTGTAGGGCGGACATGGCAGCAGAGGGCAGGGGTTTAGCCCCAGCTCCTTTCAGCCTGCACTGGGGTTTCCACAGACTTTCCCCTGCTCTCTCCGAAAGCCCATGGCGGTCCGGCCGGGTGAGGCCTCGGCCTCGCCAGCCTTTCTAGGCATTTCTGCATGCTGCGTGGCAGGGCCGCTCAGCTGGGGAGGAAGCACAGCTCCTGCCCTGCATGGGGAAGTGAGAAACTGCTGTGGAAAGTCAAAGAGGGCAGGGAGGAGAGTCAACAGGCAACACCCTCCCCACCCCTCATGCCGCCATCATTGTCCCTGTCCCAGGAAAGGGGAAGGCCCCAGGAGCGTCCATAGCTGCTGGGGAGGCTGCAGTAGAAGGAGGGGTGGCCTGGGAGCGGCGACTTCTCTCAGGCTTCCTAATCCTCCGTGGCTGCATATTGCTGCCGATGGCTGTGGCAGCGGGCATAGGAAATGGTATGGACAGACAGGTCAGACTGAGTGGTGGAGCTGGGATTTTTGTGGATGGAGACTGATTTTTAGGGCTCTAGAAAGCAAGAGTCTAAAGGGCTTGCAGGCTTTGCTTGCCTATAGCCCCAAACTAGGAAAGATGAAAGACTGACATTGACCCCTGCTTTTTTTTTTTGGTTTGTTTGTTTTGTTTGTTTGTTTGTTTTAGGGCTTTTATACAGTTATTTGGACATTAAATTATTTATACCAGAGCTGGTCTAAACTTTTCCTCTCTCCTCTCACTCCACTCTGCCTTGGGGTCTGGTGGAGCAGCCTAGTGTCCTCTAACAGTCCTCCAGCTGAATCCCCGTACCTGGGCTCCTTCTGTGGGGAGACATGCCCCATGTACAGTGAACCAAGGGTTTTCCTGTTCTCTTTTCTCCAGACAGGGTCTCTCTCCATCCCCTTTGCTCTCAGCTGAGCAGCGGTGGGCTTTCCCCTTGCCTGCCATCCTCTGCAGAGCTTGCCAGGGCTAGGGGCTGCAACACAAAAGCTCTCCTGTCTCCCACGGCAGCTGTCCCAGGCCAACAGGGAACCACATGAACAGGCTGTTTCTGTGGAGCCTGTGCAGAGGAAACCTCTGCAGCTTGTGCCCTGCCGTCCCATACTAATGCCAACCAAATGGACAAGAACTGACTAGGCACCTCCCTGCATAAACCCCTAAGAGGCAGAAGTGTCATGGATTTACACTTTATTCTTTCATTTCTACAACTGTATTTTTGTTTCCTTCCCCTGTTCTCCCCATGCAGACAAAATGGACAAGCCGGTATGTCCTGTAAATAAGGAATGAGAAGCATGTATAAAAGGAAATGCAACACGAAACAAATTTTTCCCAGCCAGTCAGGTAAGGAGGCCAAGGAGGAGAGGAGATTTACCCGTACTATGCTTGACTGCGTCAGGCAGGTGAGCCCATGGGGAAACTCCTGCATGCCAGAATGGACGGAGGGATGCGAGAGATATTTGCTATCTATCTGAAGAATCCAATGTGGATTGAAATGCTGCTTCTGTGAACTGCAGATGCTTGGAGTCCCATAAAGAAGACATATCACTGAAGCTTTAGAAGAAATGAGAGCAGAAGCCCTTACCTTAGCAGAAAGAAGGTCTTTTTCAACAGAATTTTAGACAGACCATACTTCAGGAGTTTTGTTTTCAAATCTTCACAGTGTTCAGGGATGGGCACTGTATCCACAGTTCTCAGTCCTAGCAGTTATCAGACAGGAATAGGAAAGAAACACATTGCAGTCCTGCTCCCATTCCCTGCCTTTCATGAGCAGTCTTTCTTCCAAACAGCAGAATGTCCCCTGGGACCGGCCTTGGTCCATTTCAAATTTACTTTCCCTAGACCAGCTGTGCAAAGATTACTGGAAGGCATTCTGAATGACTGCGTGCCGAGCACAGAGTTGAAGAACCCCCTGATCTGTGCTGAGGTGGCTTCTCTTCTGCGGCAGGCAGTGGTTGCTGTTGGAGAGCTGTAGCGACTGTTGCGGAATAGCAGGAGGATTGCTGGGGAGCCGGACGTTGGAGCCTTCACAACTCTTCGTGACTGAGCTGAGCCAGCTGCTCAAGCCTGAAGCTCCAAGGAAGGGTTGCTGAGTGCTTGGACTGGCCCCTGAAACACTCCCAACCATGAGGCCATGAGACTGAGACCTGGCTCCCCCCACATCTTGAACTGTGTTAAGCATTAGTTAGATCAAGGTTCACTGCAGCTGGAATGGCCATGAGGAGGTCAGAGAGTTGTGGGGAAGAAGTGGGGTCTCTGTGTCTTGTGGCTGCTTCTCTGGTTCCCATTATGAGATGAACACAGTGAGATCAGCTGCAGAGTCCATGGCATGGAGGGAGACATCACCCTTTAATATGAGCTCCTTGACTTCTGAAGAAAGCTCAAAAGCTCAGGCGTGGGCTATATTACCTTGGGAGAAAGGTATCTTCCTGTCATCAGAGGGACGCTCCCTTGTGCCTGGTGTCACAGATCAGCCCTATGAAGAGCTGTGCAACTGAATGCTCCACTGGGTGAGCATGATAAAAAGTTCTACAGTTTCTGAAGACAGCAGTGCCCAGGAGAGTGCTCTAGCTGGCGTATGCCTTTGACTCCAGCCCTAAAGACTGGCCATCCATTAACAGTGCTAAAGTCAGTAGCAAATCTAGAACAAAATTGGAAATCAGTCACTAGCAAGACAGAGGCATCTATCGTACTGCTGCTCAGTGGTGCTGTCTCTCCTTGCTTGGCTACGCTGGTTCTGCATTTGTTGCCTTTGAGGCAAGGAAGCCACCTTCCTGAGGGAAAGGTTCACTGGGATTGCTGCTGCGATGGTGCTTTATGCAAACAACCCCCCGCAAGCACTTCTGATTTTCTAATCACTCCCTTCAGGACCAGCAGGATTTCTCACCGAAGCCCTATTTCCCGGGCTTTATTTACCCAGGAGAATTGGTTGCTATAATTACTGTGGATCAACAGTTCTGCTATAGCTATTCCAATGCCATTTAACTGCACTGGCAAAACCCCCTTGTGTAGACAGTGAGATGGAATAAAGTGAGTGCATTCTAGACTAATGACTTCATTTTCAAAGTGGAGTGTTTCCTGCACAATAAAGCCACGCTGGAGTGTGCTTGTGTGTGGACTAGATCATCTACAGAGAGATGTCCTGGGCCTGCAGTGCTGGTCAATTCTCACACACAAGCAGCCCTTTAAGACACTCACATAAATTAAGTGATTCCCTCCCACACTCACATCACTCCCTGCCTGGCTTTATGTAGCGTGGAAACATCCGTCACTGTGAGTCCTGTCATCATAAGTGACATGCGGTATTTTTGCAACAACTCTGAGTGAAAGTGATGGTTGTCTCAGGCCATAATGACAAGATTATACAGTCAGTGCTCCTCCAGACCAGCAGCCTCCATTGCCTGCCTCAGGTCCTCTCTGACTGAAGTGCTTGTAGGTCAGAGCAGAGAGAGATTTTCCCTCTCTTCCTCTCTTCATTCCCAGCTCAGGAAGATAAACTTGCTTCCAGTCCCCTGGCTACCCGGCTACTGAGGGGGTTTCCAGTGACTGCCGTACCTCACGGCACTCAATGGATGCCTTCCACGGAGTGAGGGCATCCAGAGGGAGGAGAGACCTGAATAGTATGACATGCAGAAGGCAGAGGAAGGCAGCACTGTGAATGGAACAGATGCTGGATGAGGCTTGCTCCATATGGTCATGAGTCTTATTTTATTGAGGTCAGTATCAAAAATCCAGCTAATGTCATGGTGTGGGATTTGACCCTAACCTAACCTTCTTCTTATTCCCTTTCCACCTTCTTTTTTTTTTCTCCTCCTTTTAGCCCCCTGTCCCTAGACGCCCCCCATCCATGAACAGAGCCACTGTGGCTCTCCCGTACACCCATGCCCGCAGCTCTGCAGTCCTGCGAAGAGCACAACAGCCCCCAGCAATCCTTCTTCCTCAGCAGTCACATCTCCTCTGCCTCTCCAGGCAGCACAGCCACAGCATCTATTGGCTCAGCGTAGCTCCGCATGATCGACTTAGATTTCCTCCAGTGACTACTGGCTTATTTGGGACTCTGGACGAATGGGAAAGTAGAAAGGCAATGATCCTAGAAGGCTGATCTTGCTCAAGGCAAAACCTGGTTCTGATTCAGCTCACTTGCACACAGTGCTTTATCCACTCAAGGGAAACAGTCTTGGTATTTGCAGGCAGAAGCCAGAGAGCTCCAACCCCATTCCGCCTGTTCTCATGCCATCTCCTCGTTGATGCAGGTCTTCTGGGTGGTTTTGGTGGTGACCAGGGCAGTGGCCCCCAGCTCTGTAGCCGGCAGCGGGAAGCAGTGGTTGCACTCCTCAAGACAGGGGGAGACAGGAGAGAGCACAATGACATCGCCAGCAGGATTGCCTTGGCAGCACAACCTCTGCTTCTCCGCATCTTTTCCAGGAGGTCGAGTGACCTTCACTGCTCCATTGACGTGTGGGTACTTGGCGAAAGCAAAGTCATCATCTGTAGCCAGCGCTGTGAAGTCCTGTTGGATCGGGCTTGATGAGGAGACAGCGTTGCCCATTCTTTCTGAGAGAGGATAAGCAAACGGGGTTATTGGATCTGGGAAGTAAAGCAAGGCCAGGCACAGGGCGCTGAGAGACAAACACGACCATGAGGGCACAGCAGGTGGGCATGGGGCTGGGGCAAAGCAGAAGGGACCCGCACAGTTTCCATAGCATCTCTTCTTCTGGGTACAATCCTTCCTTTCTTCTTCTGCAGCCCTGCTCATTATTACTCTTTTTCCCCAAGTAGTATCGGGGAAAATGTAGAAACTGGCACTTGCACTTCAAGCCTTTTCACAAAACAGTTCTGGTGGCGCAGTCAGTGAGCAGCGAGTCCCTTTTTGTCTCACCCTCTTCGACCGCCTCTGACTTAAAAATAGACTTGTTTACACACTTTAAGCGCACACGCGTGCTACTGGCTTGAAACTTTGGCCCTACAAAATCTCCTAGAGAAACTTTTTGCACCCCATGAATCCCAGAGGTTTGTGGGCAGGCGACTGAGCTGCGGGGCTGGTGGGGTGAGGGGCAGGACAGGGTGGAGGGTGCAAAGCTGCGGGCCCGGCCCGTACTCGCAGCCCCTTACACATTAGTGCAGGCAGCAACTGCCAACCCTCTCTTGCCTCTGGATTTTTCTTTCTCCTCTTTCGTTCTTGGTATTTTTCCCGAGCATTTGCGTCAGCACTCGTTGTCGCAGTCTCGCTAAGTTTAGCCCCGTGCGCTGCCTTGCAACGGAAAGGCCCCAGGTAACAGCCCCCAGCAATCCTTTCTCCCCCTCTTAGTCACAGCGTGGGCACGGTGGCCGCGAAGGCGAGCCAGGGCGGCCCGGTTAGGGGAGCGCGAGGCGCGACTGCCCTGGCGATGTCCCGTGGGGGCCAGGCAGCCCGCGGCGCAGCGGGTGACACCAGGCGAGACCGCTTCTGAGAAGGGAGCATGGGGGTGAGTCAGCACCGGGGAGGGTGACGGCCGCCCTGGCCCTGAGCAGACGGAGGGGCCTTCGTGGAGGCACCAGCCCCACTGCTGTAGGGGCAGCCGCATCCTGGGACGCACTGGCAGGTCAGAGAGCTCCCAGTGATGGCCCATCCTCTGCCTCCTCCTCGCCAGCCTGGCAGGCGGTGGCGCGGGGGGCCAAGCTCCTGTTGGGTGGTTGGACATCGCCTGGAAAGCCTCCTCAGAAAGGCCGGGCCTAGTCCCTTGTCCCCAAACCGCGTGTTTTTGTCCCCTGCTCCCAGCCTGTGCTCAGCTGGGTGGAGAGGCTAGGACAAGGGCAAGGGGAAATAAATATAGGTGAACAGTATCTGTTTGTTCACTTGTTTTTAAAGAGATGACAGTATGTGCAGAAGAAGAATGGCCGTCCTTGTTATCCTGTTGGGCAGAGACTGGCTGCAGCTGCGTTTTGCACAGAGCCTCATGTTCAGCATGTTTCGGGGCTGCATCAAGCCCTCTGCTGCATGGGAAAGGCAGGAGGGGGTGCTCAGAGCACTGCAGGGGCTCAAGAGCAGAGCACCGGGCACCTGAGGATGTGCAAGAGATCGAAAACAGAGGAGCCTCCATAGTTACATCCCTCCTTGCAGCTTCAGCCCCTGCAGGTTATCAGGTAGTGTCTGCTGCTATTGCCTTTGGGGACAACCTGTGGCATGTGCAGCACTGTGGCCTCCCAGTGATGAGGTCTGTCCCAGACTCTGCTGAGGTTTCTGGGTCTTTTGGTCTTTCCTACAGAGAGGCTCCCTTTCCTCACTGAGCCATGCAGGCTTTTAGGGGACACCTTCAAGGGCCATTTCCAGCTGTTCCCAACTGTCTCCAAACCCCAAACGCTTCGAGCTGCACGTGTCTGCTTTTTGCGCTTTGCCCTCCGACTACCAGGGCAGAGACGTTCTCTCTAGATTATCCAAACACAAAGGTGAAAAATGAGTAGCACAAATATTTGCATTCTTAAAATTTCTTAAAATTTCACACATACTTAAGAAGCCTCGGTGAAGCTGCTTGAGAAATGTCCACACTATGGGTTTTGATCTCTTCTTTGTTTACACAGAAATGTGAAAATTCTGCCTCAGAGTGGTGAGCAAAAGCTGGATAGTATTTAAATCTGTTTCCTCTGGCCCAGAGCACTGGGAAACTGATCACTACAGGCAGGCTTATGGTGCCTGACTTCCTTGGTTTATGGAAGGGAAGCTAAAAAATAGTTTGCTTATGCTCTTTAAGTACCACCAAATGGAGAGGAGATCCAGCGCCAGTAGGTGCTTTAAGCAAGCAAAGGCAAAATAGGATCCAAAAAATGGAGGAAGACTTCAGCAGAGCTCCCATTGGAAAGAGATGATGGGAATCAGCTGTTAGAAGGGATTATCAGGAGTTGTGGGAGACTGCCACTTAGGGCTCCACTCAGTTGCCCAAACAGGCTTGTCCAGTGCCATGTAAAACACCTTCAGGCATCTGCAAATGCTCTGCAGGAGCTGGCATAGAATCAAAGAGACATAACAGTGGCTAGAGGCCAGGAAGGATGCCCTGGGGCATCTGAAATAGCACCAGAACCTGGTGTAGGGGAGCCAACTTGAGCCTTGGGGTCTGCAGTGAGGGCAGACTGAATACCATGTGGGACAATATGCTGCCTTCAGGCAGAAGAACCAGCATGGGCAGGTCTTTGGCATGTGCCTTGGATGAGGTGAGTCAAATAGTCCCTTTGGCCCAGGGAGATGCGGGGAATTCCTGTGACGGGGAATATAAGAGATATCTTACCTTTGGACTCCTTATCCAGTTGCTTCTTCTTCCTCCTCTGTCTCCTAACTTTCCTGGCCAGGAATACACAGATGGCAGCCAGAACCAGGAGGAGCCCCACAACTGCAGGGCCCACAAAGATCAAGGCTCTGCCTGGCAGGTCTGACGAAGGTATCAGGGTTGAGGTGGGCGCTGCATGAGCAGGTTCTGCTGTGGAGGGAAACAGCAGTGTCAGAATAGGGTCCTGGGCAGTGTGCTCTAGCTGACCCTGCTTGACAGTAATTTTATAAAGTGAAAAAGAGTGACCCTCCACCTTTGCCCGCCCGCCACCTGCAATGAACAGCCTTCCCACCTTGAAGGACCCTCACATCCTTATCGGTGGGACATGGGGCCTCCCACTGTCCCATGCTCTTCTCTGCCAGTGGGGCATGCTATAACCCCCTTCCAGGTTGGATCAACCCTGCTGTCCTTGCGCTCCACTTTCCTAGCTGGCACTGGCTCTTCTCTCCCCCACCCTGACCCCCTTCTCCTCTTGCTCCATGCGGAAGGACGTTCTCCTTCCATACCCTCTCCCCTGCAGGAGAAGGCCTCTCCCCTCTACCTGCTGATCCAACCTCCTCTCCAACCCAAGGCAGCGCTTCAGCCCCCTTTGCCCACCACCCAGCCTGGAGTGCTTGGCACGCGATCGCTTTCGTCCTCTTACTTGTGTTGTCCTTGTACAGTTCGTAGCATTTCACACACGACTTGGTCAGGGAATCAAAGCACTGGGAAGGGAGACAGGAGGTGCTGGCGTCTGCTTTTCCCGACGACATGACTGAGTGAGCGCGAGAGCTGCCTTCCTGCATGGCGCCGTAGAGAGGGGCTGCCCAAGTGTGAAATCGCAAAGCCCTGGGGCCTGTGGCAGAGGGAGATACAGTCTGTCAAGCCGCGTCTTCTCCCTTGGGGCTTGCGATCTCTGCACTTTCCCCGGGGCGGATCTTCATCAGGAGGAGGAGAGCAAGCGCTGAAGCCCTACCCCTGACTGCCCGTGCAACACATTCTCAAGCTACCCCTGTCCTCCAAAACGCATGCAGCCTTTGGCCATCCCCAGCTATGGAGAACCTTGGATTCATCCCACATCTTGCTCCTGCTGGCCGATACCATCCCTTCGGCCCTCACCGTTCTCCATCCCAACACAGCTCACCCTCACCCCCAGCTTGTCCATGCCCCTTGGGTTTGTGCCCCTGCCTGTGAAAACCCCCTCACCTTCCTCCAGCACCTATGCATGACCTTCCCCTGCCTAAGTTTTCTATAAGCCCCAGCTCCTAAGGCCACGGATCCATGTTGGATATAAAAGGCAGAAAATGACCTATGGAAAAAAGCCTGCAGAGGTGCTTAGGTTTCCTCTTTTAGAGACTCCCACTGCTCTTGAGACACATCCTAGTAGTGATCTTGGCACAGCTGGGCTGGACTGACTGTTCATGTCACAGCACCACTCTCCTGGCGAGCTTTTGCGGGGACTGGCCAGGTAGACTTAACTTGTGCTAAAATCTACCTGGGCTCCAGGATGAGGATACTTTCCTGTTCCTGTGGAGGAATCTGTGATGGTTGCAGTCCATGCTCCATGATGAACAATGTCTTGTCTGTTCAAGGAATGGGATAGAAATCAGCCTTCAGCACTGCCTTTGCTCACTACATTCAGAACAGGCTTCGAGACACTGGCTCACTCTGAGACTGACCCAAAAGAACTGAGCTGCTTGCTCAGTAGACCATCTAGATACCCAACCTAGACCTGGTCTTTCAGCCCTCTGGCACCAGGTCCTGTACCTCAGAGGTTCTGAACCGGCTCTGCTGTGAGTAACCGCTCAGCTTATAGAGAAATGAGGCACCACCAAGGCTACCCTCTACCCATACTGTTGGAGGGCACTAAATACACTTCAAAGGGTCGTGGGTGTGCCTGATTGTGAGCAGGAGAGGTTTCCTACCTACTGATACCTACATGTTGAAGTCTACAGCTGATACCTGAGTGGATATACAGTGATTTCAGGTGGCTCTTCTTCATCTGTACCAAGAAAAAAAACTCATGCCCCTTTTCCTGCACCCCTTAGCAAAAAGACCGAGGCACTGCATTGAGGGAAGCCGCACAGGAGACCTACCACATTCATCAGAATCCTAATTCGGTGTTATTGCTAGAAGTGCATTCTTGCAAAGCTACCACCTCTGCACTAACAAAGTCCCTTCCAGTCACTGTCCTAGATTGAAGGTGGGATGGGAGGGTGAGAAAGGCTATGGGGATGCTCTGCCTCAGCAGAGCTCTAAGTATCCTCACTGGGCAAACTCATCGGAGAGTGATGGAGGGCAGCTCGCCCTCAGGCAGGGCAGGAGCACTTTGGGCAGCTTGTTGTGCACACTTAGGGCCCCACTGCTTCAAACCAGACATTTTGTCTGCCTGCCATGCTGTCCCCTGCCAACCATGTCAGACCATGCCACCCTCAGCTACAAGGGATTTGGTCAGTGGGTCATTTCATCAGCCTTGTTGGCTACAACCTTTCCACTCTGCCTCTGCTCTCCACTTCCCTTGGGATTTGATTCCTCATCAAAATTAACCCATCAGGCTCTCTCCCTTCATTTCTAAAGCTGCAAGCACCAGGGGTAGTGCATCACTGTGCACTTGCCTTCTCTCTCAGACTCCTTCCTGACACCCATGAGCTGGCGGGTTGCAAGGCTGTGAGCACTCAAGTCGAGTTTATTCACTGGGGAGGGCCCTCTTTGGTGACGACCAGCTGTGGCTGGGCTGCAGCTCAGCCCCTGTTGGGACCTCAGTCCTCCCCAAAGGGCTCTGGGGGCTGTAGGAGTCCAAGCGGTGAAAGTCACGACCAAAACCTGGCCTCAGTCACTGTCCACCAGTTCCCCCATAGTACAATTTCACTTCCTTTTTCACTTGACATACCTGATTGCCCTCTCACCCTCTTGTACACGCTCGCATGGGCATGCTCGCACTTCGGGTATCTCCTTGCTTTGTTGCTTGCTCAATTTCTGCCCTACTTCCAGATGCATTAATCTGGCATGAGGCTTCTCTTTCTCCTCCTGAGGAGCACTATGGGAGCCTTGCTGTGGTTTCTGTGCCTGTGACTCAGTTATTCCACCTAAGTGCTAGTCAAATGAAAACTCTCTGAATGAGCTCAGGCACCTCAAACACTTCCCTCTCTTGGTGCAGCTCGGGGCATCAAAGCCACAAGGGTTGGGTAACATGGTGAACTTGGCACCCTCCAGTTCGTTGTTTGCATTGAAAAGGCCATTTTGGACACTCTTTGCAGGTAATTTGCAGGTGCAGTGGCTTTTTTCGTTTGCAGTAAGGCACCTATTTGTCTGATTCTTCTTTTTTTTGTCAACCTCGTTCTGCACAGCTCCATCAGAGTTGGTGCATTCTGCATCTACAGCACAAGCTATTCTTCCAGTGTCTGATTTCTATAAAGCAGTAAAGGGTCCTTTTTCGCTTGAGATGGGGCTGAGAGGTTCAAAACTCATGACAGATTCCCCACTGACTTTGAAAAGATTCATGAATTTAGAGCTAGTACCTCAGAGGTGCCTGGCTTACACAAGGTACAAGTACTCTAGTCTCTGGGTCTTAGTACATTGAATCCTCTCCGGGCAAAATCTTTCTCTCCTTCTGACACTTTTTTCTTTTTTTCTAGACAGCAGTTTCACACTGAATGCACTGTTATCCAGCAAATCCAGTTTAAGAGATGAAAAAGAGCAGGGAAAGGCAGGGAGGATGGAGCTGAATTTCTCCTCGAGCATGTTGTCACTGCTCTGTGCAGTTCTCCTTGTGTCATCCCACAAATGGGCCATTCTTCATTTCCCGTGGCACGTAGAAATCTCAGGCATTTGGGCTGAAATCCTGTGGTCTGCTCCAACCCGGTTCTTCTGGTGGGAGTTATTGCTTCACAGTGCTCTCATTTGGCAACAGGAACGGTAGGATCTTATCAATATATATAAATGGGAGGGTGCAAAGAGGATGGGACCAGACTATTTTCAGTGGTGCTCAGCAACAGTACAAGAAGCAGTGGGCACAAACTGGAACACGAGAAGTTCTATCTGAATATGAGGATAATTTTCTTCTCTTCATGGGTGACAGAGCCCTGGAACCGGCTGCCCAGAGAGGTTATGGAGTCTCCTTCTCTGGAGATCCTCCCAATCCACTTGAATGCCACCCTGTGCCACGTGCTCTGGATGTCCCTGCTAGAGTAGGGGATGGACTAGATGATCTCCAGAGGTCCCCTCCAACCTCAACTGTCCTGTGATTCTGTGAACACCTCTGAGACAAACCCCCTCATTTCTGGTTGTTGTCAAGGAGCCTTGGCTGAGCCCGGCTGTGTGCAGGAGGGATCTTGTGTGGCTCTCTCTGCTTTGAGGGTGCAGAGCTCCAGGCAAAGATGTTTCTCCTTACCCAGGTCACCTCGGCCCCCCTCTCTTGCACATCCCAGGCAGAGCAGGTAAGAGAGCAGGAGGTGTCTGCTTTCAGCAGCCGAAAGCACAGACAGGGCATCGCTAGTGCCATGACATGGCAGTGGCGGAGGAGTGTGGTGAAAGCCGTGCTGCACAGCCAGTCCTAGCAGCTGGGGGAGGTGAGGGAGCAATAAAAAAGCCCAGGCTCCCTCCTGTCTGCATCTGAACATTGCAGCACAGAGCCCTGAGGAGGAAAGGGCACCCCAGAGCACTCGCTGTCCCTGTCAGGCAGCTCACAGAGGTTTAATGGTAAGAAATAGCAAACAGAAAGCATCTTGTATTGTAGGATGCTCACGGCAATGGCTTCAGCCCAGAGGATTTGCTACAGCCATTCGCAAAGCAGACGAAAGCTTTCCTGCTTCCAGGGTGCAAGCGGGGGATACAGAAGAGCAGGATGAGCATGTAAGATGTCAGGGTGGCAGTTTTAGGGTGCCCTGCCTCATTTTTTTTAGAGTGGCTGGGATGGCTAATGAAGTGCTGCATGGATATAGGCTGGCTGTTCTTGCAGATAGAGGCAAGATGTATGGAGGTGTACGTGCACATAAGCATCACCTTTCTGCTAGGAGGTGGTCGATCGAAGGGAAAGCCTTGTCCTCTTTCTAGAGGTCTTTTCTACATCTTGAGTTCAGACAACGTACCCTTTTTTTTTTTTTTTTTTGTCATTCACAAGCTCTTGTAAAAGAAAAGAAAGTAACTCCTGCTCCCTGGGATGTCCTCCTGCCACCTCCAACCTGATTGCTCCGCTGGCTCCTCTCTGCTAACGGTCCCCGTGTCTGCACTGCCTTCCTGTCACCCGGCTCTTCTTTTGCTCCCAGATCCCTCTGGCATTCCCCGGCAGCAGGACCGATGGAGGGTGCCCCAGCCCCACTGGTGCCATAGGAGCACCATGGTAGGACTGGCATTTGGCACCACTGGGGCTGGGGCAATCCACCAAGGCTGAGGACTCAGCAACCCAAGGCTCTGTCAGGAAACTTGCTCTGAAAGTACCTCACTAGCTGAAAGGTTTAGCTGTTTCATTTGCCTCGTGTTATTCCTGCTGTTTTCGTTTTCCCAAGGGGGACACATCACCTCTGCCATCCCCCTCTTGCCCTCCCTCCTGCGTAGCCCTTTGGGCTTCCCCAGCGCTGCTCCTCCCTCAGTGACCCACGGCCCCCTCAGTCCTGCAGTTCCCCTTCCAGCGCTGTTTCCCTTGCCCTCCCTTCCTCAGCTTTCCCTTGCTCCTGTCTCCTGCTGTACTGCACTTGCGGATTAACTCTGTGACCACTCAAGCCAAATTTATACACTGGGGATGGCCTAAATTAAGGTACCTAAATCTTGATTTTGACAGCGAGGGTCAGACTTTCAATAAAGTTGAGCACCTGACAGCTCCTGTTTAGGTATCGGGAGAGAAAAAACCG